CCCGGCCCGCACACGCTGGATCGCCGCTCCCGGCCTCGCCGGTGGACGCCCCCCCCAGCACTTCCCCCCCAGCCCCACAGCGTTTATTTCAGCTCCTGCTCCCGCCCCAGTATCTCTTTTGGCTCCAGCTCTGCAGCGGTGCTTCTCCAGCCCCACGGTCGCTGTCAGCCCAGCCCCAGCGGTTTTATTCCGGCCCCAGCCCCACGGTCGGTATTTCAGCCCCAGCTCTGCATCATGTCAGCCCCAGCCCCACAGCATTTATTTCAGCTCGAGCCCTGAAGGACTCATTTCAGCTTTAGTCCTGGGCTCTCTATTTCGGCTCCAGCCCTGCAGTGGTTCAGCTCCTGCCTTCAGCTCTTGAGTTCAGCCCCAGCCCCAGGGTCTGTATTTCAGCTCCAGCTCCAGCCCTAAGGTGGTTATTTTGGCACCAGCCCTCCGAGGTTTCAGCTGAGGTTTCAGCTCCAGCCCTACAGTTGGTATTTCAGCTCCAGCTCTGTATCGTTCCAGCTCTAGAGTTTTTATTTCTGCCCCAGCCCCTGCCCTAGAGTCTCTGTTTCAGCTCCAGCTCTGGGTCGTTTCAGCTCCAGCCCCATAGCCTGTTTCCACCCCCGCCCCCAGGTCTGTATTTCAGCCCCAGCCCCACAGTCTCTATTTGGGCTCCAGCTCTCTGTCGTTTCAGCTCCAGCCCTGGAGCATTTATTCCAGCCCTACGGTCAGTGTTTCAGCCCCCGTCCCACGGTCTTTATTTTGGCTCCAGCCTCACAGTCTTATTTCAGCTCCAGCTCTGTGTCATTTCAGTCCCAGCCCTACAGCCTTTGTTTTGGCTCCTGCTGGACCTGTATTTCAGGTCCAGCTTTACATTCAGCTCCAGACCTACAGCATTTATTCCAGCTCCAGCCCCATGGTTGGTATTCCAGCTCTGTGTCATGTCAGCCCCGAGGTCTTAATTTCAGCTCCGGCCCTACAGTATTACCAAGCGACAGTATACCAAGAGGAAATGGCCTCAAGCTGCTCCAGGGGAGGTTTAGGTTGGCTATTAGGAAAAATTTCTTCACAGAAAGGGTAGTCAGGCACTGGCACAGGCTGCCCAGGGAAGTGGTTGAGTCCCCATCCCTGGGGGTATTTAAAAGATGTGTAGATGTGGTGCTTAGGGACGTGGTTTAGTGGTGGACTTGGCAGTGTTAGGTTAATGGTTGGACTTGATGATCTTAAAGGTCTTTTCCCGCCTAAACGATTCTATTATTTATTTCAGCACCAGCCCTATGGTCTTTATTTAAGCCCCAGCATCTGCCCCAAGGTCTTTTTTTTCCTCCAGCATCTCAACCTGTATTCCAGCTCTACATTCAGCTCTATCCCTACAGTCGCTATTTCAGCTCCGGCCCTACAGTCTGTATTTCAGCCCAGCCCCAAGGGTCTTTATTTCATCTCTAACTCTACAATCTTCATTTCAGCTCCAGCCCCAGGGTCATTATTTCAGGTCTAGCTCCACCCTTACACATTTTATTTCAGCCCCAGCCCCACTGTTTGAGCTCTCGCTCCACATCTTCCCCCTGCCTCTGTGTGAAAGCTGCTCCTGGTTCTCAGGGCAGCACTGGGCCTGCTGACAAGGTCGTAAATCAATCACTGCCATCGCTCCAGTACCAACGTGAGCTGTCATCTCTCT